AATTTAGTTTAGACGATGTGTGACTTCCTGATATTTTATATATCATGTAGATTGTCCTTAGCTAATTTCTGCTTCACTAGATTTCTCTTCTGGAAATATTTTCTTCTTACCAGGAACCAGGAAACCGGATTTTTGTAATATTCTCTGAAGTTTTTGATCTTAATTTTGGAAGTTATGCTGATTGTTTATCAGGAACTTTGTATTTTATCAGTTGTTTGTTTGTGACGATATAATCTGTAGCATCTTCCTGCTTTTTACTTTTTTAAAAAAATTTTCAAAGATATTTGTAGGTTTCATAGATTAATCGATTTCTTCAATCCTTTCTTTTGCGTGATGAGTATATTTCATTGGTGTAAGGCATACATTTCTATGCAATAACAACTAGATATTAAATAATTTTAAGCATTCTTTAAAATGTTTCGTTTTTTTGTTCTATTCTTTCATAAATAAAATATTGTTTTCACCAATGTTTTTCCTTTCGACTTCTTCTGATAAGGGAATTTGAACAGAAGACCAAAGTTAACATCCGTCAGTGAGATTTCAATTCCTCTTCAATTTCCTTTTTTGCTTAATCTACTTTTATTTCTTGAGGTGATGTTCCAGGTAATCCATGTATTCCGGAATAAAAGTTACAAGTTCCGGGTTGTTTCTGAGACGTTTGCAAGAAGCACGTTGTTGTATGGTCCGTAAAAATCATGGTAATATGCGGTAGCCAGAAAAAATATATGGCCAGTTTAAGGGAGTGGACTCAAACAGGATACTCGAATTCAAAGTGTACCAGAAAGCGTACGCGATATGTAGATGAAACTGTATTTGTAGATGAACCAGAAATACCACTCAGCACATAGAAACTGTGAATGGTACTGGAAATCAAATGGAGAAGGAAAGCTAGACCAGAAATTTGATCTGAGGTCAAAAAATATTTTACATCGGCTGAAAATCAATGCAATTAGTTCATCAAAAAAAAAGAAGAATAGTGGACAATTTGAAGATATAAGAGACGTGCGCAGCAAGAGGAAATAAAAGACACGAAATGAATATACTCTTATTCCATCAAGAACAACAAATATCACCAGCGAAGGTAAAAGTCTGCAGCGAAAGATCGAGGGAGTAACAAACATTTCCATATTGAACAAATGGTTGTTCAAAGAAGTGAAGTGTTAAGTAGGAAAATAAATTAATATTTGATCTAAATATGAAGATTTTGAGCAATTAGCCACCATGACAGCGAAATAATTCAGTTATAAGTGAGCTGAGCAAGACTTGACCGAAACAGGATTACCATCTTAGGCTAATTGCTCCTCTATCGCTTCTTATCGTCTACTTTGCCATCTTTACACCAAATTTTTCAATCATAAACTAATGAGTTATAAAATACGGATGACTTTGAACAAATTTATCTGTTGAAGATGACAAGCGTCACTGATTCTTGAAGAACCATTTTGACTGCTCCACTACCACCAAAACTCATAATAAATAGCTTTTGCTAACGTATCTAATAAAAAGCTTGCACTCACATAAATAACAGAAATCACTTGAAAAAAAGTGCAAAGTGACAAAATTGGATGAGGCCAAATGAAATAAGAATGGACGGCTTAACAAAGCCAATTATAAAAACAAAGATTATGTAGCCTCGAAAACAATCATTTTTGGAATGGCTGAAAATACAATTACAATTTGCATCCCTGCTTTCTAAAGCTCGTAATAGAAAGAAAGTCGATATGAAATCCCAAAATATTCCTTCACTGATTGCTCTGTGAATTTTCCATTTTCTCTTACTCTATGAAGGCATGTTGTAAATCTTTTTTTCTTTTTTAATGGAAACTCCCAATTCATTAAAACGGTTAGCAATAACGTTGACGACCTGTCTTCTATCTAAAGAAACCATTCATTTGAATGACTTTTACCACAAACAGCTACTTTAAATTCGCACTTTGCGAGGTATAGTTTCAGAACCAATAGGCGTATTACAGATGTGGTATTTGTTCCGCAAGGGAAGTGTCGGAAACAGAATTCTCTATAACCTCTGTAGACCTTACCAAAGCTTTTGACACTGTAAGCAGAAAAGGCTTGTGGCAGATCTTGGAACGATTAGGATATCCTCCCAATTTGGTGAAAATGATCATACTATTAAATGAGAATCAACGCGACCAAGTCAGATATGGGCGATGGATTAAGACTTTTCCAATAATCAATGGAATGAAACATCGTTTCCATATCAACTCCTTTCACAATCTTCTTCACCATGATAGTTCAAAGGACCACACAGATCTCCCTGAAGAAAAAGACAGTTACTCCAACATGTAGCGATGAAAACCTATTTAACCTAATGAGGCTAAAGGTCCACACCAAGACCCTATACCACCTTGTCCACGAGTTGCTTTTTGCTGACGGTAGCACTCAACATCCTGCTTTGCAGAAGCTGCAAAGCTTTTTACTGGAATCGGCTTGAAGAAGGCATAAGTTCTTCCGATGCCAAGATCGACAACAGATTAGCAAATACAGAGCTTTCAAAAAACTCCATAAAAAAGTCTGGTGCAATAAACACCTAAAGAAAAGTACAATGATTGAAAAGTACGATGAATGTCGATAAAGCCATTCTTTATATGGATCTGATGACCATCTACTCCATCACCTGCGACTCCTCGAACGCTTCCAACAGCAAAAAAAAGTACAAGTTTCCGTAAAATACTAAATGTCCACTGATCTGACTACTGTGACCAATGTTACTGTTATTACCTGTAAGGATCACCAGCACTGAGGTTATACTACTGAGGACGCAGTTGCGACTGGGCTAGGCACGCCTCCAAGATTTAAGATCAGCGATTTCCCAAGATTATGCTCTATTGAATTGGCTTCCGCAAAAGAAGAGCCCGAAAGAGGAGATTAAGGACGTCCTAAAGCAATGCCTCATCCCTTGCAATACAGATTATCATCACTGGTTCATTCTGACCTCTAATCGATGATCATTTATAACGCTGCTGCTCCCTTCGAGAACACAGAGAAATCAGCCCTGAGAACCAAAGATAACGCAGAAAAAACCGTCCTCATCGATACTACCTAAGAAGACTTTCCGTTTTTGCAACCGAACTTGTCTATTCCGTATTGGCCTTTACCATCACCGCACCTACAGCAAACATAGTATAGCTCTTCACATATCTTTGACTCTGTTCATATCTTCGTTCGCGAAGCCTAGCCTACAACGATGACTAATTCTGCATTGGTGTACGTTAAGATTTTGCTCTATTTATAATCGTGCGACACATGGAAGAGTAAATGCTGTTAAAAAATGATACCGTAATAAACTTGTAACAGGTCTGAAGTTTGCTTTTTACTAGCTAGATTTTAGCAGTCTTGCAACGCAAGGAGTCACACTAGCAAAAATAAAAAAAAAAAAAAAAAAAAAACTAGCTTCCACATTAATCCTACAAACGATTAAACCTGCAGTAGAGCATAATCTTCCAAAATAACATAATGTTAGTTTGCTCCATTTTTTTTCTCTTTGGTAATTAATTAAACCGAAGACTTCATCAACCAACTGAACATTATCTCATTTATATTTCTTTGAAGCATGATATTTAATTGCTTGCACTTTTTAGGAAACCTTCGAAAATTCGTCAATAACTGAAAGTTATCCAGGCTGAAACATCTTTACAATTAAAAGCGCTCAGTCATCAAACAAATATGAACTAATTAAGGTTAGAATGTTGCGTCTACAGTAAGTTGGAACAAAACTGTATTACTGCATTCCTTTCAATATAATAAGCATTATCATACAAATTTCACATTCAATTATTTTGTTAGAATCATAAAATCCCTCGGGAAATTTCTCGACTGAAGCTCAATAACTTCATGCCAAATGTTCATTTCAACACGTTAAAGTTCACCGCTTAATCACCGCATCATACATATATTTGTGTAGCTTTAAGGTATGCAGCAAACATGCATTGTTAAAGTGAAACCAGAAAGACTCATCATAAAAATCCCATAAAATCCAGTTTCACTAACAACGAATGTAATTGAAAAGCAAAACTACTATTTCATGTTAACAATATATATCTTTATGTTGTGTAATACAGAATACAGTCCGGTATCCCCACAACATTTCCAAATATCAGTTTGTCAAAAAAAATTGCGAGCAACTTAGTAGTTTCACTTTTTATCGATGAAGTGCAGTTATTAAAAGTGAAATGTGAACCATTAATCTTCTTTTTTCAATTGGTCGCAAATATGGACATATGAAAACAGTAAAGTGGAACCTGTTAGGTTTTTTTTTAAATTACGGAAGAAAAAAATTACTTGAACAGAACATGATTGAATAGTGAGAAAAAAGCCATTGCACTTCATCCACGCAAAACAATAGACAAAAAACTTCACGGGAGGATTCATAGGGGGAGACTACTTTTGAGAAAGCGAAACTATCAAATCACGAATTCGTGAAACTTCTCAGGACGAGCACATGTGCAACCACCGTTCAACAAGCAATTATAGGAAGAACCCACATTATTAGCTGTGAACGGAAAACTGAAATCAATCACTAACCAAAAATATGCTATGCAGAGTGATCTCAATGAATTAAATAACAGACAACATATCATAATAACATTCATTTAACTTATACGAAGAGTTTCAATCATTTTTTCTACGACATCTAAAGAGAAAGTACCTGCCTTAACAATATATTTTTTTGTTATATCTTACATTCTTGTTATCATCCACGGAAACGGACAATAATAAGAACACAGTAGAAAATGTTAATTCACATTAATTTCTTAACACCACTTAAACAAGTCGATCTTTATAAAAAGAAGCTTTAGTAAGAGCAGCCGAATAATCCAGTTTAGACAAGTCCAAAAAATCTTAAAATAATATTCTTTATTGTGTAATAATATGAAAAAAGTAACAACCAAGGCTTAAGGAAACCTTACTTTCCAGAGTTGTTCAAGTTTCTACTTACTCCCTTCCACGCACCGCGATCTGAAGTAGTTATAAGCTCTATGTAATAAATTAAAAAGTCAATTAAGTGCATCCTTGGAAGCAAAAGAGATCTATATATTATAGGTAGGGTGTTGTGAAAATATAGCAATGAATCCTGTCATCTACCCTTTTAAATTTCTAATACCTAAAACTGAAAATAAAATCAACGATACACATTTTCTAAGCTATAAAAAATGACAAAGTTGATACTTTGCAGTACTGATAAAGTTTCAAGTAACCATTATGTCCTCAGCAATATGCATTTTTATTCGCTCATTTCTCATTTGTCTAAGTAAAACACGAATTTAAAAAAAAAAAATTCTTATTGCAATATTCACCCTTCGCGATGTATTTCACAAGAAGACACTTTAAATTAACGTCAAAAGCAAAATACTGCCTTGTTACTTCCTAATCAAAAACATTTATTAGTTGTAAAAAGTAATCTTATAAAATATTCAAAAGCGAGATAACAATTATAGATGACAGCATCAAATGAATATGTCAAAGAAAATTTTGACAAAAAGAACGAATTATCCCAAACGAAAACCGTAAGCTTCGACAAATTGTACGGCAAAATCTTCGCTCTCACCAGCTAACGGTTCGTTTTGAAACGTTTCACATGCTTGTGTACGACCATGATTCAAATCCGCATCCAACCAAAGTCCATAGTGGCCACCACTGGCACCAATCGACAGTGAATCCATGCTTGCTTTTACGAAAAATTGATTTAGGCCACTCCAAGAATAGATCCGAAGCACTCTGTAAGACCAGAAATTTTTAATATTAAAAAAAAAATGAAAGAGAGTTGTGGTGAAAGAGAGTTGTGGAAAATTCCCAGGAACTTGCACTCCCACAATATTAATTATAACGACAATAAAAGCTGCATTCAATTTTTTTTTTTAGCCAACACATTACTCGTAATATAAACATTGTTACATACATTAGTGGTGCGATATATTAGAAAATCCCTTTAATATGAAGAAATCAGGCAAATAAAATTTCAGAGCGAGCAAAAGTTACTTTTCATTTAACTCGAAGTCGTTCACATATTTGTAAAGGAAACATGAATCACCCGTCCCAAAAAAGTGCTCGCTTGGACGCACTGTGGTACTAACTACCGCACCGAAGACATTCTTCTCACAATCACGAATTATCAGCAGTATCGGTGACATTTCTTCATCCCAATCTACCATTTTTCTAAAAAGACAAGAAAATCATTCCGTTATATCGATTGTTTTCGATCCTCTCTTCTGCCAAAAATTATAGTATTTTTAAAAAGATGCCAATAAAAATCACTGTTTAGTTTTCTAGTTCTGGGAAGATAATTTTTAAAACAAAATTAGAATTTAATTTGTTTCAAAAAATAATAGACTGGTAATCTCTCCAACTACCGAGATTACAGCAGAAATATGAAAAAGCAAATAGCCTTGAATACCGAACCTGTAAAAAGTGTGTAATGAAAAGCCATGCTTTTCGGAATTATAAATATTGATCCACGGATAGCCTGCAGCACGGGCCGGAAGCACATCTACCATCTGCAAACAAATTATTATATTTTAAACTTAACTTACATCCAAAACGACTTCGAACACAATTTGTTTCTCTTCTATAAAAATAAAACACAGTTCAGAGCAAAAGCAAGCGTGACACCAACCTGCCTAATCATAACCTCATCAAGGATTTGCGAAGAAGTAGCACCATCTGGAAGAGGTAGGACAACCTTGTCTAGCTGATCCAACGACATCCGCCGACACATCTCTTGCACTGTCACAATCTCCCATTCCCGATTTAGATAACTGCTACCGAACAGTCGAGAAGATGGCACCTCGGCTATAATTTTTTTATGAGACTATTGAAAATCTACTACATGTGAAAAGATAATCAGACGTGAGCGGTGAAATTTAAGAGCTTTTCCTTCTTGCCTAAGAAAAATAATAAAATAACTTGATTAAAAATTAGAAATGGATGCAACTTGGAGAAAAAATTTAAAAAAGCATATCAATGCAAAATAATAAAAAATGCTGTAGATGTGTTTCAACGAGAAGCAGACCAAAAACACGTCACGGTACAATTCCCCAAGACAACCAGTGCTGTTTACAACACTGCAACAAATCTGCAGTAATTAATTTGTTCGCTGAAGAATTGTCTGTACAATATAGAATCATATTACGAAAACGACCGACCTTCATGATATAACAAACAGCAGCAGTTGAATTCAATAAAGCAGGTATTCTGCCAATCAAGATCTTAGAAGGCAAATCCAATGGTAAGATGAGGAAAACATTTACCTCACTCAAACAGAAGAATATTCGTATAATGAATTTCGTAAAACAGGTTTCGAAGGCCACAGAGTCCATAACAATAACTTATATACAAAAGCAGCATTCGAAAAAGTCAAAAAATAATTTCTGTCGAAATTAATATAAGACAAAACAAGCCTACTTTTATCAAAGAAATGCAAAGATATAAAAACTGATGAGGAAAAAAACTTGGCCAAATATATTCCCGTAAATAGACGAAAATGTGAGAATTGAGAACGTAAGAGCTGTGAACAGTTGTAAGCAGTAGATAGTAATTCAAGCGCATATATAACAGAGATATCTGATAATTTCTATCCGACGAACCGAAATCAATGACCAAAGAATGTTTCCCACACATTCAAAGCATAAAACGGAAAAAGAAGCTAATGTCTTTCGAAGAATTAGAAACAAAACAACTGATGCCTTTTAGAAATCCTTTCACATGGGTCGATAAATAGTTGCCTTAATGGTAGGGATGAATTACTTCATGGAACGAAATCAAAAAAGTATTGGAAATGAAATACAGTCTGGAGGAAAAATCCTAAAAATCATTTTCTTTACCAATGACCGATGTAATTATTAACCTCTTAAAACATTCTAAAAAGGACATTATACAGACGGAAAATTAAATTTCCAATTATTTATCCCGAAGCTGTGTTTGTTTCCCCAACGAAATTCCCGAGACTTCATTTGCTGAAAACTTTGACTTTGAAAAAAACTTTTTATAAAGCTGCCAGAAAAAAAAGAAAACAGTAGAAGTAAACAATTGTAAAGCTAACCATTTAGGTCAAAAAATGAAATGGAAGAAAACACAAAGTTCAAGTTTTTCAAAATGTAATGCTCAATCTCATCCAAATAATCGAAGCATTTTAAAATGTAAAGAAAAGCTGACAATTTTCATTAATCAAAAACTGAAAGAATTCGAAAAAAAGCAACAGGATCACTGATTACAGGTGAGATTATTTCCACTGTTTTCAAAATATGACACAAATGAAAGGCTATGTTGAAAAGCGTTCTTCTGAATTAATATAGGAATTTTTGGAATTACTGAAGAGTTATATGAAATAAACATCGAAGAAATAATAAAGAAAAATGAAACACAACAGCACTACAAATCGTGAAGTAAAAATAAGTACGAAGATTGCTAACTATACCATTAAAATATGTAAAGTGTAAAATAACTGTGATGAGAGTGCCACTTCTAATGATATGGAAATAGAATCTGACAAATGTCAATATAAAGTGTATAAATTAAAAGAAACTTTTTCCTGAAATCTAATGTTTAACTAGAAAAACACTAGTTTAAATTTCAAATACTACATCCTACTAAATTTTTGTCCCAGATAAGTTTTACCCCACTCTGTGGGTAGAGACAACCTTTCACAGTACTCGTCAGCAAGCAGATAGTCCTTAATTCTTAGTTCCAAATTTCAAAGAAGGCTACCATCCAATGATACACTTTGATTTTCGCGTTATATGTTATTCACTTTTATAGGATGAAGAATACAAGAGATAAAAGAGATGTCCAATAAAGAAGAAAATATTCTTTCAAGGCTAATTTATTTGTCCAAGATACTTCGCACTAATGAAAAACAAAGACTCTCCACTCATAAAATCAGTGCCTTCAGAAGGTCTCATTCCCTAAAGTTCTTTATCCGGATACCGTGAAAAAGTACTGTATTAGTGGATGAAAAGTGGAATAGAAATTTTCCCGCAGCTTATCTTTTAAAAAATGAGACAAGGAGGGAAGAAAGGACTGGATATCACAACATCTTAACATTCTTGATTCATCCGTAATGAACATCTTCTTTCCTGTAATATTACAGATGGTACGGTGAAATTAGAAAGCAAAAACTTACTTTTCGGAGAACTCGTCATATATGCAGATGGCAGTGAAACGGCTCGTTTACTCATTTTCCGGAAAGACTTTACTAACGAAAACTTCCGACTCTTTTTACGTTGGGAGGATGACTTCCTCCTGGAATGCATTTCTTGTGACTTGTTTGTCATTAGATTGTCATCGCTTCTCTCCTTCTCTTCGAATACAGTTTTGGAATTTTTGACAGCAGAATAGTCAGCAAAAACGGCATTTTTCGCATCATCTTCATCGAAACTTGCACCAGAATCTAGGGAACTACGAGGGATGTGCAAATTTGTTTCAGCAACCTGTTTGCTGACCAACACAGAGGTTTCATTTTCGCGCTTTGAACTAACTTCTTCATAACACTGTTCCTTTTTCTTCTCTACCTTCCCGGTATCCACTTCAGAATCCTCCTCTGAGACAGAATCAACTCCTGATGATACACTCGTAGCTGACAATTCCTTGATGCCCACTTTTTGTTTAAGCGAATCCTTCGGGGATGGAAATTTTCGGCAGGAAGAACTCCTTGAAACCGGAAAGGAAAATTTCTTTCGTCCATGCACCGAAACGCTGGAAAATTCCCGGGACGGAAGACGTTTTCTCCTCAGTGGTTCAGAGTTTTGCTTTAGCTTCTGATTTACATCAGTAGCACTAAAAATACTTATTACCGAAGAATTTAGATTCAATTCATGAAATTTAGTATGCAAAATAGGTGGCGGAAAGAACCTCTCCTCCATAGAAGGCTTGTAAGATAAATGCGCTGCTAGTGAATACTTCGGTACACCATGACGACAAAGAACACGATGATATTTCTTTGAACCGCTCATCGATTGATGATAAATGTGTGGATGTGATCCTGCAACGCCCATTTCCTTCTTTTCCTTTGAATAGCAATTCTGAGTTCAAGCCAAAAGACCCGACTTTCTAGCTTCTTCGCCCTTGACAAAAATCTTTTCGACAATCTTAAAAAAATCAAGTTATCGTGAGAAATTAATGAAGATCGAAAAACCAGAACGAGGCGTATTAATGCCCAAACAAGCTGCTGTTATCAAAAGCTACAGTCATTTGTTTGTCCGAAAATCATTCTTGAAAATTTGCTTATTTCAGCTCATTCAAAAATTAAAAAAAANAAAAAAAAAAAAAAACTAATTCAGCAACGCGAAACCACTCATCTGCTATTCGACAATGGCTGACAACAAAATTGGTCAAACATTTCAAAGGTGTTTCACGATACAGACATAGGAAGTGAATATATTCGAACTATTTCTTCCTTCATTTAACGCTTAATTTTTGAACCACATCCTACCTATAACGTGATATGATGAAATAAAAGACTGTGGGCATCTGATGTTACTACTAGCACTATAGGTGGTGATGGACTCTGGCAAAACATCTATCTCATTTAGGAAGATTTAGGGTTAAGGAGAGAGTGCAACTGAAATGCATACTAGATGTGATTCTTTCCACTATTAAAACACTCTAATGAGCTTATTCAGGAGGTTCGGTGAAATCTGAACAAAAATTAAATGAGTAAAACTAAATGTGAAAGTTTTTCAGTGTTAATAAAAGAAGGTACGAAGTTCCATCTATATTCACAAATCAAATTTGGGCCCAAAGCTACTAGAAACAAGCGAACTATAATAAAATTAGAAAGAATACAGCTAATGGAGCGAATGCAAATCAATTTATGCGCCAAAATAAAACACAATTGAGCATTTCCAAATATGTAACGACTTGAGTGCATTTGTGTTTTGTGTATATGAATGAACCGTATATACTGGTATACTCGTACTAAAAATGCGGGAATGTCTAAATTAATCACAAAAAGCAATGCCTGTTGAATGACACGATACCTTGGTGAACTCTATTTTGAAACAAAGAACTTCAAATATTTTTTCAACTGCTTTTTATTTTGTATATAATAGTGCACTCTCTGATACATTCAGACCATAACAAAAATATACTCAAACCTTATAAAATTCAGAAAGTTTGGAGAAATGGAAAACTCCAGAGAAGAATGAGACATCATGAATTGATAAACTTGTTCAGTTAAAAGTTAAAATAAAATTAATCCAATGAAATTATATGATTCTACAAAAGCCCTCACGTTTCTGTCTGAAAAATGATTCCAACACAAAAAAATGTAAGTACAACTTTAGACAAATAATTATACGGAGGATACAGCATTATACGAACAACATCGACGCCGGCAAAATCTCAAATAAGAACTATTTTATCATTCTTCAATGATGAACATCACGCGTATCGCAACAAGCACATCAATCAATCACAGTTTTAATGTTTGATTAAAATTAAATTTCATGGAAATCATATCAAAACAATTTTAATTTCGTCACAGCTGTGAAGTTTACAACCAAACATACAGAAACATAACTATTGTACAAACAGTTCACACAATGTGTAAATGCTTCATAAACAAGCATTTATTTGCATTGGTAGTACAACACTGAAAGCTCAAAAAACTACCAAACAATATACATTTTTTCGTTGCATCAAACTTACTGTGTCAATCCAAAATCCAAAATAATGAAAATGCAAAACAACCACATGATATCATGAAATAAAACAGAAAATTTCATTTTATTTTTCCACAAGTTTTAGGACGTTAAGGATTTTTCTGGAGACACTTTCAATAGATGTTTGATCGA